GTGCCCGAGAACGTGTTCATACCTTGTGAAGTGTAAAGTCGCTCTGTACCCGAACTCGCTGGCGTCTGAATTCAACTCGGTGTTGGGTTGTGGTAACCAAATTTTTCGTGGGCGGAACAACTTCAAGATTATGGTGATCTTCTCTAGTTTTTATCAGTTGCGCTCTTGTGAGTCGTAGTTTGACTAATTCGCTTCACATCGTGGTACGTGTAGATCTGCTAGAAACCATTGCAGACTCAGAATTGCAAAATTGGCCCATTGCAGAAAATCCAAATACGATTGCTTTAGCTTGGTTCGAATGCTACATTGATGCCGTAAAGCACTGCTGACTATCGCTGATATCAATATGTGAATATTTACCCGAAACGCTGGTTTATTGTATTCGCTCGAAAATCGATGATCAATCTTAGGTGGGTCACCCGAGTCACTGGAACTAAACAATGTCCTTTGCTCTCCACTAGTCTTAGACCAAGCATGTCCATAATCTGTGACTGTAGTAAATATCGTCCGCGTATAGTATTTGCGAGTGCGTAGAATTTGTCTTGGAAGTCTGCACTCATTGACAGTTTTAGCATCTAGGGACCAGATTATCAAAAAGCCAATACAAATTACAAAACCTCGGAATCATCAAATAATGAGTTTTGTAATTAGGATTGGAATATTTCTGATATTAGAGTCATCAGCAATATTTGCGGTAGAACCGGTAAGCTAAACCGGGACTCCGCATGTGAAAGAAACACTCAAGTAAAACCCTGAGTCTAATGAATTATAAAACACAAATAAAGACTCAGTTCGGTTCTCTCGGACTAGGTACTTTTTCCTAGCTGAGATAACCGTGTTTATTGTATCCCTTGTCTCGTATCTTCCAGCTACTCTCCTTACTCTACATACATTTTTTTACAATATCATCACAGAAGTTAATAATCAATATACAGATTCCACCAGTGAGTAAACAATTTAAAAACGTCGGGGAAACTTAATATAAGCTTTGTTAAGAAGGGAACAGGACGCCCCGAGAGGACCAGGTTGCAAGGGTTCCAACTTCCAACAAACAAGAAAGAAGAGGAGTTGAAGAAGGAGCTACTACCTCGACAAAGAATCGCATGAGGAACAATATCAGGTAAATATAGTGTGTTTAAAACGTGTCAGGTAAGCCGAAAGTGTTATTAAGTGACAGGAGAGTGTTCCTACCCCAGTAAATACAAGATAGGTCAATAAGTGTCACCCTGATCAAAACGATCAATGTTGGGGATTTTCGAACAATAAAATACACTGACGTCAGCAATCACAAGTGGGCTATAAGACACTACACTAAGAAATCACACATAGACATGAACGTACTTCAACAAATAAGTACAGAGACAAAATAGACAGGCTATAAATTATCTTAAAGGGCTTATACAGGAGGCTTAGATAGAGACAGGGTAAACAGTCAAGAGCCAAGACACTTATAGGACCACACGTGGAGAACAACTAACTGTATAAGTAACATCTCTATAGAGGGTCTACACTGTATAACATCTCGCCATCTGTGAAACATCTTGCCATCAAACTGTGAAACGTCTAGCCACAAAGGTGCAATTAAGAGGTTTTAATGAGCACAATACAAGCACACAACTGTGAATATCTCTTAATGAACCTAGAAAAGAGCATTAGAGGAAGGACAGGTGGAGAACACATAAAGGCAACATCAGCCGATAATTAGATACACGATCATCTACAACCATCAGAATCAGAGGTACAGATATTGAACTAAGGGATGCACGTATATGTCAACATTTACGGATAACACAATAGTCTAGAAGCACAGTGAAGAAAACAGACATCATCGAAAACAGACACAACAAGTTGCGCATCACTGCAGAAAATAAAGATTTCGAATCTTAAACAAACATAGACTAAGGCACCACAGAATCAGATCAAGTGTACAATACACTTAACATACGAACTAAATGGGAAATAAGCCAATATCAGTGTGAAAGTTTAAGAAGTCAACTTTATCAAAAGTAGGCCTAGCAACTAGAATAGTTAGCCATAACGAAAAATAAAGCTATCAAAGACACAGATCTGATTTAGATTGAGAGTTCGCAGGCGCACACATTCGCAAGCTCTGAACTCGATCAGAAGTTTATATACGTACACACACATATTAATATTTAGTAATTAGACAAACTAATATTGACAAATAGACGCAGAGAAAACAAGGCATGACCACAACAATACACATAAGCACAGATCTGATGAGATCAGCGATTTGCATGCGAACATATTAATTTCGAGCTAAACTATGAGCAACAGGAAACATCCCTACAAAAAAACTAGTACACAAACATAGAACATACATCAGCGGGTGGAAAATCTCTTACCAGATAACCCACAAAACTATTTATGATGCAATCGACATCGAATGTATGAATAAGGGACATCAAAAGGGTTCCGAGAACATAGAACATACATCAGCGTGTGGAAAATCTCTTACCAGATAACCCACAAGACTATTCATGATGCAATCGACATTGAATGTATGAATAAGGGACATCAAAAGGGTTACGCGACCACTCACACATCACGATACGTAAGAACACGCCACGATGGACAATAGTAATAGAACAATAAAAACATAGACGATACATAATCAGAGTGAGTCTATTATTGCTATTAAGAAGCAAACAGCTTGACATAAAGAAAAACACACATAACAAAACAACATCAAAAGAATCATGAACATTCAGTTCAATAAAATGATGGTGGCATACTAGCACAAACCTGAGCGAGTATAGAATACAGTGTCAAGAGAACACACAACACAAAAAGTGACACGGGACAAAAATAGTCCCTCAAAAATGAACAAAGTGATCACATCAAAGCGAACATTAAACCACTAAATTGAACACAAATTGGTCATACAAACACACAAGGTGTAGGGACACCCAAATAGACAGTGCCAGTACAAATCGACTCACACAATCATTGCGCAGCACAGAACCAGCAACGACAGAGTTTGAAAGAAATTGGTCAAAAAGAACAGTACATGAACAAAGACACCACTTGACTACAGACAATCGGCAAGAGTGCCAACACGGCCTGTACATTGAAGGTGAGGGTGTCACACTTTGTCATACACGCGTGTCACAAAAGTAATCAAGGGAACAACCAGCATCCTAGAACAAGAAAGTATTAGGGAACATAACCGTGCACACAATTTGGTACAGGACCGAACTACAAGAGGTGACGTCGCCAGGACCGAACTTCCTAGATGACGTCAACAGGACCGAACATCTCATCGAGATCACACATGATAAATTAATTTCACATATGACGGTATAATCACAAGTAAGTCCACACGTGACGAAATAAGCTTGCCTAACAAATACTGTTCAAATCCTTCCAATCACAGGAAGGAACGCAACAAGCTACCGTACTACATAGAACGGAAAACACTGCCCACGGAAGTGCAGCAAAGCAAGACCACAATAAAAGTAGGTGAGATACATTCAACTTTTATTTATTTCATACAAAACAATTACCAAAGACAAGGGGGTGAAGCGCGCATTTGCACAGAAGATAGCAAGAGTCTTTACTAATAAGTTGCAATAACTACACACCAATGCTATCTCCAATGCCAACGGCAACCAGAGCAGGCGTATATGGTGGTGAAGAAGAGGGTGCGGGTACGGATGGCGCACGTGTCAGCCCACTAGGGGGGCCAAGCCCAGGTAGTGGCTCCAGCCAGCCTACACCGGGAGGGGGTACCCATACTAGCTTCAGCAATGCGTTTAGGAATTAACAAAAGCATCTGCCAATGTAACCATGTCCTGGTTAGTGGGTTTGTATTCAAATTGGAACACACAGCACGGGTGTCTATAGCAACTCTACATAAGATGAGAATAGGCATCCATGACCAACAGCCAGAACGACGCATGCCAATCGTCAACACTGAGCTCAGACGAAGTTACGATCTAGCCATCAATGAGTGTGGTGAAGATGAGGAGGATGAACTCATTCAGATACGTCAATACATCAGTGAGTTAGAGCTCATGCGTTCAGGCTTAGGCGACCAGATAAATGAACCGGCCCTCGCAAAACTACTAAAGACTGAAAAATTTTGAAGCTACCTAGAAATAGTTACTTCAAAATGGAAAACTGTGAAGACATTATAGAATTCACTACACAATGCAGAGACTTTTTCTTAGCCAAGTCCATGCCACTATGTCAGTACCCAGCATTAGTGAGAAATCTAATAGATTCCACTGACAAGCTCAAGGCAGTGCTCAATAAGTTAAGAGATTCTGAAACACAGATAACCAAGCACTTAAAGGATCCTGAACAATTCAATAGAATCTTTATTGACAGACTCAGACACCATCCAGTAGACTATCTGTTAAAGAAGTTTCTCAATGACATGCATAACAAGACACTGAACGTCGAAGTGCGCACAAAGCGAGTACATAAAACAATGGAGATGTTAGAGGAGCGTTACCGCAACTCAGACAAAGAGCCTATACACTTACAAATTCTTTAGGTCCAAAGATACAAAGCACTTACGTACTATGGACAACAAGAGAAAGTGGATGCTCTCATCAGGGCGGACAAACCTCCTGATGGAAGTTAGGGTCAATTATCGGATATGAAACATACCGCGTTTCACTCTCTTACTGAAGCAAGCTTAAGAGCGGCAGCCAAAGTGCAAGGAGATCGGTGTATAGAGAGCGTAAGCGACACAACTCGCAGACAGCCAACCAAAGCCAGGCTCAGGTTAGCACAACCACTACGACCAAACGTCACCACCCAGACAACAGTGCACCTAAGCAAACCAAACCAGGACAAACACAAGAGAAGAAAGGGGCGCGCGAGGAGCGTACATGTCCTTATTGTAAGGAGATGCCAGTTCCGCATCGTTTCAGTCAATGTCCCATGAAGGCTTCGAATCAGGCCAAGCAGGTTGAAGAGCAGGTAAAAAAGGACGTGCAAATAGCAAAATTGTCCATTACCTCCGGCAAGATAGAAGACATCACAGAAGGTGAGGAACACTGAAACAACTGGTGGGCGGAAGCAAACATGAATGACCTGGCTGACAGGCTCAATGTATATACAGATGGAAAAAAAGTACCTAACTTTACTAAACGACTCATTTCGTTTATTTACTTTTAAATTTTATTATACTTAGCCTTAACCTAAGCGGTTATTTACTCTAAGGCGTTAATATCGCCTTGATAGACCGAAACTTACACTAGCTAGTATAGTATCCAAATATAACCCTCGATAGAAATTACTATGTTTCAAACTACGTTAAATAAACTAAGATACAATTTAAGTCGGTTAGGATTTAACAGCAGTAGCTTGTGTAAGAATGATCGGGACTGCCTCTTGGTAAGAGCCTTGTTATTCTCGATCACACAGAACGTCCCTCTAGTTGTTTTTTTTTCGGATAATTTTCAATAGAAGTACTAAGTGTTCATGACCACATGCCTATTTTGTAGATAGGATAGACATAAGAACGTAAGTCAAGTTAATACATTAGCTAATATAAATAAAGTTCCATCTGAAGAAAAGTTTAAAAAAGAAAAAGACTTATTGGATTTTGGAGATTGGCGGGAAGACCAAAACCTGTAAGTAGTAGTTCAGAGATTATAAAATTTAGTTTATAATATCCTACATCTACTATCGTCTCAAATAGATTCAAGTATATGAGTCATACCAAATACCCAGGCTATTGGAGCCATCAAAGTGGATTTAGAATATTTTGGAAATATTGGAAAAAGAACTTGTATTAGATTATTTTAAATACAAATAAAAACCAAAGTGTTGTCGGACATTGCCACTGTGATGCCTAGTAATAGCCGCACCACCCGCCGGTGTTTTATTCCCATGCACGTACGTGTACAGACTACTGTTGAGGGTCGGTACACGAGCGTGTATGTGCTGGCCCGCATCAAGACGACCATGATGGCGGTCGCGTGTCTGATGACCACCCAAGCGTCCGTGCTCGGTCCTATACTAGATGGTGCCCAGGACACAGCAGTAGAGGCTCTCAAATTTGCTCTTACCAATGTGATTAGCGCACCACACCGAAATTACCTGCCCGTTATTATTTCGGCTCTGGAGCATATGATACTTAGCCTCTCGCCGATCCATCGGGCTACCTTCACGAACTTTTGTGGTGAGCACGTATACCAGTGTGTGGACCGGGCTACGGTCTTGTATTGTAGTAAACACATCAAAATACGATACGTGCTTGTGCGTTGTGTGCTGCCTCCTCCTGTATTCGTATTCAAGATACGATCTCGTTGTTGGGCAGGAAGCTGTCTACGCCGATCCCCCACATTCATCTGTGTCCGTACCCGTTGTCTGAGGATGGCATCGGTTTCTTGTATGTCTGGATTTAAAATGCGGAGAAGGTCTTCAGTCTCCAGCTGGTCCCAATCTATGTGGTGTTGTAGCGTGCGTTCATATGTCATATTACCTGTTAGGTCCTCGAGGGCCTGTATGAGGCAGTGATTAAGCAACCGCTTGGGAAAGTCCTTGCCCTTATCTGCTCGCTCCCAGGTTCTCTTGTGAACTTCCACAATCTTGTTCAAATGTTCCCTGGC